TGGGTGCTGGCGTCTCGCCCTCCCCCGCCGACGAGCTCGGCCGGGCCCACTCACCCGTACCCTGCCCTGGAGGCCGGGGCCCGGCCCCGGGGAGCCGGCGGGACAGGGGCACGCGAGGTGACGCCGGCGGGGAGCAGCGCCCAGGCAGAGCTGCAGGCCAGCTGCGGCCCAGCTGACGTGGCGCTCTGCTCAGCTAACATTTACCTTTCTGGAGCCAGGTTCCAAGGGGGACACGTGGTGGGACTCCACCCTCGGCCTCCCCACCTTGACCAGGCACTCCGAGTCGCTCCGACCCACCTCTCTGCAGAGGGTGGCAGGGTGGAGGGGTGAAGCTGGCGATCTCAGTCTCCAGCTCTCCTCCTCCTCCGGTAGGGGAGCCCTGGCTGGCCCTGTGTCCAGGCCTGATGACTCATGTGGAGAGCCAGAGAGCTGAGTGTAGAATGCACAGCCTCCTCTTTCCTCTCCCCGGGCAGAGATGTTAAGAGAGTCAGCTGAGTTGTCTAGTTCTAGTCCCTGCAGGGGACCGCTCTCCCCCCTCCTGCTGAGAGGAGCAAGCTCCTCAGGCCCCTGGGCCCGTGGGGCTGGGTCTCTAGAGTCACAGATCCTCCATTAGGACCTAGCTTGTTCTCAGGTGCTGTGTGCCCTTTGTTTGCTTCCTTAACCACTCTGAGTATCAAGTTCCTCTCTTAAGAGGAAATCTGGACGGTAATAGGGTGCTGTTGATGCACCAGGCATAAACTGGATGGGGTGGATAGGGCATCTGGTGACCAGCAGGGGACACACAGGGGCCTGTGCTAGAAGGAAGCAATGGCCTTAGTCCTGCTGCTGCTCCCCCGCCCTGCCTGCCACTTCCCATTGCTGCTCCCCCCCCCCCGCCTGCCACTTCCCGTTGGTGCTTGGAGGCTGGAAAGTTCTCCTGGACCTCTGGGTGGGCATTGGGTATGGAGCTGAAACTGGCTGTGCCACCCTGGAGCACACAGAGCACAGGGCTCATGTGTGAGGAGACTGTGCTGGAAGTTGCTGTCCACCGTCACCCAGAGCTTCATCATTGTGTTCTCTCCCCTCGCTGTGCTGCCGGCAGGGTAGCACCTGGGCGCCTGCCACATAGCTGGTCCTCACTGTGCCAGACTTTGAGTGTAAACTACACACAGGATCGTGAAAAGTTCACGCTATCTTGTAACGAGGTTTTACTTATTACACATTGAAATGACAGTATTCTGGGTAATTTGGAAAGAAAATGCATCATTAAGTTGATTCACCTGTTTTGTTTTTTCTTGATTATGATTAGGAGAGCTGAAGTTCCGTGTGTGGCTGGTGTTATGTACCTGCTGCACACTGCTGGCTTAGGTGGCATACACGTGGCTGCAGGGCCCAGCCCAGGCTAGTGGGAGGCCTGAAGGGTGCAGCTGGCTCCTGCAGGCCTCTGGGAGACCAGTCAGGCCTCCATCCGCACCTGAGGAGGGAGGAGTGTGAGAGGGCTTGGCCGAGCAGCCAAACCAGAAGCATGCTGGGGTCTAGGGACAGATACCAGATAATCACATGCTAGCCTGGGCCTCCTCTGCACACCTTCTAGAATGGTCCTCACTGGGTGAGAAAGGGGCATCCATCAGCCTTGGGGTTGGCCAGTAATCACACCTTGGTATCTCCAGCATCTTGAAGCAGGTTGGCCCATGGCAGGTCTTAGAGAATGTTTTTTGGTTGTTTTTTTTTGAGTCATGGAACCACACACCCACCATATAAGGCTGTATAAACTACAGAAGCCACGGGGGGGGGGGGGGGGACAGAGTAGAAGGCCCTAGGCAGATACTGACTGTCAGCATCTGGAAGATACTGCCACTGCCAGTCAGGCCTAGAGGAAGAACAAATGACCTGGGCTCTCTTAGTTGTAGCGGAGCACTGGAAAAGTGGGGGACCTACTCCCTAACGTGGGGTGCAGTTGTTTGCTGAGCTCTACCATGTGCTGGGCACCGCTGGGGCTGGGCAGAGGCCAGAGGAGCCGGGCAACAGGCCGTGCGCTGGACAGCCCTGGGTGTGGGAAGCAGGGAAACATCCGGAGGAAGGGCGGGGGAAACGGGAAAGGGTGGTCTGGGCTGCAGAGAGGCTGGCAGAGGTCAGCTTCTGCAGACTCTGAAGGACTTGGGCAGGATGTGTGGAAGAAAAGGGACTTTGGTGAGATTCACAGCAGGAAGCAGCTCAGTCTCCAGAAGGCCATCGGGCGAGGTGAGAGAATCTCAATCCCAGAGGCATCTCAGGTGACCCAGGTAAAGGTGGAGCTGCTGGGGCAAATGGTATATATACCCCACCCTCCCCGCTGTGACCCCTCTGGATTGGGACCCAACTGTGCAATCCCTGAGATAGCCCACCTGCGAGAACGCAGCTCACAGCACAGGTGTGCTTTTGTGGTGATGGTTGTCCAGGACCAGGGTGTGAACTGGGGACCTCGCCCTAACACAGCTTGCTAGGCTGCTGCTCTGTCACTTGAGCCATGCCTCCAGGCCTGCTTTTTGCTGGTGGTTTTGGAGATGGAGTCTCATAGGCTTTTCTACTTGCGTTGGTTTTGAAATGCTATCCTCCAGATCTCAGCCTCCTGAGTAGCTAGGATTACAGGAGTGAGCAACCATTGTGCAGCACAGGTGTGATTTAAGTGGCAGGTGTGGACTTGGTACCCTGAGGGTCTGAGGAGGGAAGGGCCTTGGGTCTCCTCAGAGGGGGTAGGGGTTCTGGTATCTGAGGGATGTCACTGGCCAAGCTGATTGTGGCCTGGATTCCCAGCAGAGTGGCCTGCTGAGCCCTGTTCTCCGTTCTCTGTGAGCACATTTCCCTGTTTGAGGTAACTGCGCTGGGTGATCAGACCCCAGGGCCTCTTGGTCCTGCAAGCAGAGATGATCCCTGATGTGAAATGTGGAAAAATTCTCCCTCACTTTACACCTCAGTTTTCTCATCTGTAACACTTTCCAGGATGCTTACAAATCCGGGACGGTCAAATCCGGGACGGTCACGGCTGGCTGAGAGAGCCCTGGCAGAGCCCTGGCAGCAGGGGGAGGCAAAGAGCCACCTCCAAGTGGCTCAGCAGGGAGCGCCAGGGCTTGGCATCCAGGACGCCTGGGGCTCACTGTAAGGGGCTCATTCTGGAGACTCACTGCAGCCCCCAAGGGTGACCTCTCACCTCAGGTCTCCCCCAGAGGCAGGAGCTTGAGCTTCATGGAAAACAGGAAATGTGTTTCATGCTCTGAGCTCAGCAGCCTGGCCCTCACCTCTCTGAGGGCCGGTGGTGTTACTCTTACGCACAGAGGCCATCTTACCCCCTGCACTAGCCCATAGCGCCCATTCAGGCCAGCAGGTGTCCAGCCGGCCTCCAGTTCAGGGTCCTGTTCCATCCTCTCCTCTTCAGCTAAGGAGTTGGGAGAGAATAGCTCCACCAGCCTCTTTGGGGTCACCTGGGTGGCCACAGGCTTCCTAGAACTTGGATTTTTTTGTGCCAGGACCAAATGCTGTAACAGAGGGTGTGTTTACACCTAGCCAGAGAACACTTTGAGCAGTAAACCCAACATAGCCTATGACGTAGGAACACACAAGGTTTTAGAGGATTATAGATTCACATGGTCCCTTGATTGCACATCACACGCGATGGGGCCCAGGAAGGAGCTGCAATGTAAAGGTGTGGTGGAGAACAGTGCCAGCCTACCTGAGGGTACCCCTGCCACACTGTTAACGTCTGCCCGTGCAATACAGGCTGCAGGCCTCCGCCTGCGGGCCTGCGTGTCTCCACCTTGCCTTGTGGATGGCGACTGTGTCACTGTGGGGTTTCTGGGCTCAAAAACCCACAGGTGGGACCCCCAGAACATGGGAAGCCCATGATGACAGCAGCGGCCTCAGCCACACAGTGCCAGAGGCCAGCAGAGCCCCTGCCAGCCCACACCTGTGGTGGCGGGGGGGGAGGTAGGTGAGCCCCCAGACCACAGCAGGCAGGCTCCACGGCAGCATGGGCGGTACTGTGCCCTTCAAGCCTGGCACCCAGAATAGCTCTTCCCCAAATCAGCCCCACTGAGCCCACACCGCAGACTGGAAGACG